ACCACATGTAGACATGAGGTGAAATCACCTGAAAATATGTCCTTTGTATATTTAAATTTGCAAGAATAAAATACGTTAGTGCTTGGAACTTGATATTTTTGTGCCAAAAAAAAGAGAGACCATAGCACCAACATGACTAATGAAGGCTGAATAATCCCATACAACGTACGTAATATACTAATTTTGATCTAATTCGAAACAAGCAAACAAAATTGGTTCACTTTCAAACAGTTTTATTTAATTAACACAAGAGCAATTTACTTCTAAGAAATTGTTATATTTTAGGCTGAAAATGTCTTTTTTTTGTCAATGAATTCTGAAACTGCTAATCCTTTTTAAGAGTAACATCCCCAAAATACAGAGAAAGCAATAGAAGGTTTTTTTTATAAAATATTATAACAGAGCTTTTCTGTTCTCTTGATGCTTACAACATTTTTTTTGTTGTAAAAATAGTTTTTTCTGAAAATGTAAATTTATCTTAAGAAAATATAAAAATGGTGTATCGAAAAATATTATGTAAAATGAGTATATATGAAAATTTAGAGATTTAATTGATATTTATTTTCTTGGTCAATAAGTTAAAAATTGAATTTATTTGTCTATTTTTATAATTTGATTTTAAAAACACTTAATTCATATATAGAGAACCAATATTACATTAAAGGTATAAATGTAATATATTGTAATTTACAGACCATTTACGTATTTCGGATTAGATAAAATTTTACAAGAAATTATCGTAAATGTACTACGTGCTTTTTTCCGTTTATATATAAGAGATATGGGTCTTCTTAAAAGATATCAATTTTTGTGGTTAGAATTATCAGTAAGCATGTCTTCTCATGGCGATATGTTCGATGACCAAACGCCGTTGTTGAGTCCTTTACGTATTCCCGATTCACCGGAACCATATATTCCGTTAACGGTATACTTTTCTTTTTGTCTCGTACGGTTATATTACTAATATTTTATTAATGATAAAATTGTTGTATATGTTCGATATACAGGATAGTATGATAGAAACTGGAACAACGTATGGCGAATCTACTAGATTGATCCCTGTCTCGGCAACAAACGAAACTAACTCATTAATGTGTCATCAACAACCGAATCTAATCACATATCAAGAGACATCAACACTCCCGCAAAATCTGCTTGAAATGGTATATTACTTACACTTTAACTTAGATAAAAAAAAATATAAACCTAACTATTAAGGGTGGGTGTTGAACAGACATTCCGAATTTTCGTAATATTTAAGATTTTCTCTGTTTAGATCGAAAATTGTTTATTCGCATCAACTAACAATGTATACAGTGTTCTAATATCTTTTAAAATATATATGGATATTTGACTGGTTATCCAATCTGC